CCTCCAGGCCTGTCAGTGCCAGGCATTAATGAGCCGGCAAAATGGTTTCTTCTCTCATTTGCTTTGGCAGCGCAGACGCTCGAGTCTCTCAGCGTGTTGTTCGCGAAGTTTGGAAAATGTAAAATATGCCTGAGAGAAATGCCAAAGCCCTTAACTCATGGGGCAGCGTTCACAGAACACAGAGGGGGGTAAAGAGCTCTCAGTGGCGTTTGCTGTGTGCATTAAAACTTGCCAGTTGTTGAGGGCTGTGTCTGCACAAGGGATACTTGTTAATAAATGGAAGCACCCAGATGATGGTGAAAATGATTTTATGCAAAATAAGTCTCCGGTTGCAGGGAGAAAACGTCTATTTGCAACCAGCAGAGAAGTTGCTTTTATTAGAATACTGGGAAAAAATTGTCGGAATCCGTGGAAAAATGGAAGTGAAGATTTAACTTTTTTTTTTTTTATTCGGGGTGTGTTAACTGGAAATCAAACCTGTGGTTCGGTGGCACCAGCAGTGCCCACCGACTCCAGTCCCAGGCACAGCAAGGGGAGAAGGGATGGGTTATCCCGATGTGCAGGAAGGGTTAAATTCCTCAGTGCAGCGGTGGCTGGGAGCTGGTGGGGTCTGTCTTTCAAAATCCTTGTACTCGGTGAGATCTGGAGATCGGGAGCCCGGGTAAGCCGGGATTCTCCCCTCCGAGGGGTGGGAGTTGTGGGGAACACCACAGGCTGCTTTGGGTTGGAAGGGACCTCAAAGATCGTCTCCTTCCAACCACCTTCCGAGCTCTTCCTGCTGGAAACTCCCTTCTGTGTGAGCACAGAGGTCACAGGGTGGTCACAATCCCCCGCTCACCTGGGCACCGAGGTCACCTGCCCCCGGTGGTGCCACGTTGAGCTCACCTTGTCTGGGATAATGATGTTTGCCAAGGGATTGATCACAGCAGTGCTGGGATGACCCTGGGCTTTGGGTCACCTCGGACACCCGTGATTTCCGTGGGAAATCAGCACGGGCTCGATTTCCCCGCCCGTTTTTATCCAGCCCTGAAAGAAGGTGATGGAAGGACTGGAAGGACCCGCTCCCAGCATCTTCTCCGGGAAAACGCGACCTGAGCTCCGCTTCCCCCAGCAAAGGGACAGCGCAGGAGCTGCTCCGGGCATCTCCTCCTTCCGCAGGGCGCAGCTGGGCAGGACCCCAGCGGGAAAACTTGGGATTTCGGCTCCAAAGCATCTGGCTCCCCCTTGTGCTCCCCGCGCTTATGGCAGGGAAGTCTGACGGGACAAATCCACCTCCTCGTGTCCAGCCCGAGAACTGGATCCTTCAGCAGCTGTTGGTCAGGACCTGACCCGATCTGGACCAGCTCCGTAATCTGGCGCCCTTGGGCTTGTCGGGACACATTCCCGGGACAGGGGTAGGGAATAGGATGTGCAGCTCCATATGCAGAGTTGTGACTGTCAGCCAGAGCTTCTGCTTGGGAGAAAATCCACCTTATTCTGTGTGATCCAATCCAAACAACAGCACTGCCACCTGTGACAGTGTCCTTTCTCAGCCCTCAGCCCCGTGTCCTTTCTCCACCGTGGCAGGAATTTAAGGAATATCAAAGTATTCACCTGTACAAATACAACAGAACTTTGTTTCTCCAGTATTTTACCCAGGTTTGGGTTTTTTTCCCTTGGTGTTCTGTGTAGCAGATGCTCCTCTGACAAAGGTGGGAGCAGTAAGGACAGGGAAAATCCACCTTAAAACTGGTTTTAATGCAACACCCCAGCATCAGCAGCTGCTGGAATTAGAGGTGGTGTTTCTCCTTAAACGAATTACTTTTAGGATATTTCTTTAAAGGTCATTAACGGGTGTCAGGAGACAAAGGAAAGCTGTGTTAGGCAAAGCAGAAAAAGGGACTTGTTTTCCAGCAGATGTTCTACAACTCCAAGGAAAAAGTAACTACAACCAGACCAGGCGCTGTCAGTTCTGAGTGGTGCAGTTTTCCTCGAGTTCTCTGGTTTGTTTTAAAGCATAATTAAAATTAACGATGAATTATTTTTTATCGTCTCAGCCAAGTTGTCTGGTTATCTTCAGGCGGCTGCTGCAGAAATCAGGGAAGACTCCCATCCCCTAATTGTGGGTGAACATGGCAAAGTATCTACATGTGATTTCTCTTGGTTTAAAAAAGAGAGATGGAAGAGGTCCTTCCACCAGTAACTGTAGCAGCAGATTGAAGGGCAGAAGCCCCAAAGGACAAGGGCAGAGTTATTTGGAATTAAATTGGATGGAATCCATGTATCCTGTGAACACCAGCCACGCTCCATGGGAGGGAAGGAGCCACCACGAAGGTTGTGCAATGGAGAAGGCATTTCCCAGCCTTCCCTGGCCCTGCTCTACAGCTGCTTTTCCCTTGCACAAGATGTGCAGCAAAACAGGAACGTGTGTGTGTGTGTGTGTGTGTGTGTGTGTGTGTGTGTGTGTGTTTGTGGAGCCTCCTGAGAGCCAAACTGGAGCCAAGAGAGAGCCTGTGAAATCCATCTCCTCTCCTGGTGGGACCCTGTCCCCATCTGACCCCCGTGGGCTGCAGGTACTGACTCACCCTCCACCCTGAGCTCACCCCCAGCTGAGAATTATTTCCCATTTTCCAATGGCTTTGACGCTTCTGAGTCTCCAGTGTGGCTGGAGGAAGATGTGTGACAGTTGTCTTAAAAAATAAGTTATTTATTACTAATCCTATTCATTTTTCTTACACATTGTTGGGGGGTGTGTGTGTGTTAAAATAAGACACGTGGCTCCCAAAAGCAGCAAGTGCTTCTCCCACCAGAAAATGTCCCTTTGGAATTGGAATCTTGAAGGAGATGTGACAGCTCTTTTGTAGTATGTGCTCCTGTAACAAATGCAGCTCAAGGGTGGCAGGGGCAGGTTTGGTGCCAAGGGACCTGCAGGAAGGGCTTTTTTTTTTTCCCTAATGGGAAAACCTCTTTCCAGCAGGAATGGAATCCATCTTTCCCATCCCCCGTGATGAGATGCACAGGTACAATGGGGAGTGAAGAGGCTTTGTCCTCCCTCCCCTGCCCAGAGCAGCCCTTTGTGTCAGGGATGGTAAAGAATTCCAGTCAATCATTCCTGCTCCATCCACCTCCCCCATCCCCTGCGGTCAACACAGACATTGCTTTTGCCTCCAGATTGCCTAATATTGTCTAAAATGTCTAATATTTTCCTGCTAAGGGTTGTCTCTCAAATCCTCTAAGGTGTTTCTAAGGTGTTCACCCCACTGACAGGGAACTGCTGCCATTCGTGGCCTTTGTATTATTTTTAGGCTTTTTCAGTGCCTTAAATCAAAATTAAGCTTTCTATTTTTACAGCATGAATTATATATAATATAATAATATATACAATATAATATAGTAGTAGTATAATGCCCTCTTGGCAAAGGGCAGCAAAGTGTAGGCAAATATTTTGTTGAGGAGCCACAAACAAATTCTTTATTCAAATGAAAAGTGCAGACCTGAGAACACCGAGCCACAGTCAGCAGATCTAGGAATAACATCTGATATGTCTTCCCGGATGTTATCCAACAGAAACAAACACTCAATGCCTTTGTCAAGTGGAGTTTAATAGAGACAGCAGCGCTCTTGCTTGCCACAAAAATAACTGAGAGCTGGCAAGCGTCTGGCCAGCCCTAACTCTGATTTGTTCTGCTGTATTTGTTGAAGTATTCACGGTAACGACCAAATTGCACTATTTTTTTGCTAAGCACCCATTGTTTTCCGTGGTGTCTGCACCGTGAAGGAAGGAACAAACGCTTCTCTTGTGATGTTTATTCTGCAGAGGTGCTGTTAATGTATTTTTCCAGCAAACGCGGGGCTGCGCTGATGGATCCCAGCGCTGTTCCCGCTGCAGAAATCCCGTCCCTGTGCGGGGTCAAGCCTTGGGGCAGCTCAGTCGGGCACAGGCTGTGGGTGCCACGACCTCTGTACCACCTCTAGTACCGCCCTGCCCTGGCACAGCTCCCAGGACCCGGCGCAGGTGCCAAAGGTGGGGCGTTTCCAAGGCAAATCCGACGTGGAAAAGCAGCCCTGGAGCACAACAATAGCTCCTATTTACCGCTCCCCCCCCCGCCCCTGGATGCCTATTTACTCAGCACTCCGCAAACAAAACAACCTTTTTGTGTGAAGAACTGACCCCCCTCGGATCGGGAGCAGATGGGAGAGCGATGGGAACAATGGGATAACGCTGGAGGGGCCCAGCGCTCACGGCCAAGGACGAGGGGGCTGAGGAGGAGCTGTTCCAGCTGAACCACGAGCCAGCAAGAAGATTTTATTCAGCTGCGATGTTTTCAAGGTTTTTGAGTGAAAATCATTGGGTTAGAATGACTTGCCGGGCGGTGAGACCTCAAGGACGCCTGTACTGCTCCTGCAAACTGTTCTGAAGTCAGACTTGGCTCAAAAAACCACTCTCAGCCAGCAGCAACCAGTCGGGATTCAAAGCAACACCAGTGCCACTGGTTTAGCAGTCGAGCCCCGAGCGTTTACTGAGGCAAATAGGAAATACCAATGCTCTGAATCAGAAAAAAAAAAAATAGGCTCTTCGGAAAAGACAATCTGGACACTGGAAAAGAGCACTAATTTCATTAAAGGATTATCCTTCATTGAGGATTTTCTCTTTGACAAGGTTGAAAAGCAGCCCATCTTTGCTTGAGGACCCAAAACACCCCCCATGGATCATCCAGAGCCTGACCAAGCATCCGCCTTCCACCCCAGCTCCAACCCCCCTGGAGAACCCACACAATCCCCAGGGGAACTTGGAAGGGATTAAATCTTTCAATGCTACTCCCCCACCTCCCATTCAGCAAAGCACTTAAGCTCATCATCTTCCTGCTTTGACATAATTTTTTAATACACCGGTTTAACAACTTTTATCTTCCGTCGGCATAATTGCGACGGATAATCAGTCATGACAAGAAAATGCCTGAAGCATTTCTGGGGCTTCGGGTTTGGGCTTCCAACCAAAAATCTGGGATTTGGTTAAAAGAACACGGACACGGTGTTTTGTACAAGTAACTTCTTTAATGGCATAAAAACCCTAAAACTTTTCTGCACGTCAGACAAAAGTGCTCTGTGTACGATCTGACAAAATATTCTGGACACGCTGATACCACAAAATAAGAGCTATTTTCTAAACTGGTTATATAAAAAAAAACCCCTTTGGACCCTTGCAATAGGATATAGAAACAGATTTGCCTAAACAGAACCTGATTCAAAAGTCCAAATGCCCCCGGATTTTCGCATCAAACCTTTGGACACTCATGTCTAAATAAGGTGTTGTCAAGAGATGCTGCAGAAGCCATCACAGCTGGAAAAGAAACATTACTGCTCCTATGAAAACAAAACTGCCTATTTTCTACTGTGAAAACCTTCCATGCCATATTCTCAGGGCTTTCTCAGGACATGACAAGGCTGTGAATTTAATATGCATTTAGTTCTGTCAGGTGTCAAAGCTCTCCTTGTGCATCTCGGGGACGAGAAGGTTCTCCTGCAGATCCAGGTGACAGGAAAAGGCCCCCGTTGGTGTTTGCAGTGGTCACCTGCCTGCACAAAGGACCACAACCTCACTGCAGTGTCTCCCACCAGGCTGGCTGGAACTGCTTTGTCAGTCTCTTGAGAAAAAAAATCTCTTTTCTCACCACGTGCTCCCTGCCAGCAAGATGGAGTGAGTGTGCACTGAGCCAACACAAGGAAAATGAGGCTGTTTCTGGGTAGAAGAGGCTTGACTTCTTCAGGTCTCTGAGCTCGTGAGTGATGCAGAGAGCAATGGTTTCCTGTCCTGAACTTAATCTGGTCTTTGGGGGGGGGAACAGGCCTGTCCACCCTCATGTGCAGAGTTCCCCTCTCAGCCACACAGTGGGAGATCTGCAGTGCCACAGTCTGTGTGAGGAGCACAGAGAGCAAAGATCTGAACACTCACTTTCTACCCGGTGAGACTCTTACTGCTCATTTCCTTGGTGAACTTAAAAATGTCCGAAGAAAATCCTATCACCTCAACGTGAGCATCATAAGGAATGACCAAAACCTGAGGGTAACAGGATTTTAGCCTTTCACACACCCATTTGTGTCTCTGCTTTTCATCTCTGGGGCATTCCTTGAAGGAGACCCTTATTTTCCGTAAAATGCTGTGGAGTTTTACGGACTGATCTTCAATTTTCTTTTTGACACTCGATACCTGTCCAGCATCAGCCCTTCCAGAATTCTCAACACACACCGTAGTTACATCACCATCAGTGACAGCAGAAATTGCAACATCATTTTCTTGGAATATCCAGGGAAAGAAGTGCTTCATGTAGTGATATATATCTGTGTCAAGAACAACCACTTGTTTTCCCCCATCTCCATCAGGAACGAAATTCCTCCTCTCCGTGGTACTTCTGTGTTCCTGCAGCCTCCTCCTCGGTCTCTGATGGGATTTGCTTTCCTCTCTGTTGTCCCTCTCCGAGAGGGATTTTGCTTTTAGTAAGAGAAAGTCTCTGAGCAGTTTGATGGCTGGAAAGGAGCCTTGGACAGCAATCTGCCCATCGGACTGCAACGGCCCAAAGCTCAAATCCCTGCTCTGCTTCTTCATTTCTTCCACCAGATCTTCTAAAACAAACTGCTCTTTGAAAACAGCCATGTTGAGCACAGATGTGACAGAGCTGAAGACCTGGAATTTCGAATTGGAGGAGTTAAGGAATGGGTCACAAAGCAGTGGAAGCAGAAGCAGATGAATTATGCAGGAGCTCACCTTTTCACAGTAAGGGGTCACTCTCAGGGGATAGGACTGGGACAGCCTCTTGTCTTCCAGTAGATGGTCATCCTTCTTCAGGACACTCTCCACAACTAAACAGAAAGCCAGAATCACTTGTGGAGCAGTAAAATAACGTGTCACCTCCAGTCTGAGGGAACCCTCAATGTGTTTCCCAATAATTCCCCAAACGCAGGCGACTCCATCCTCTGGCCCAATATTTTATGTGTGAGTCAAAACTGCCCAGAGAGGCAGAAGCCTGTCTCCTCACAACATTAACTGGCAGAGGTTTATTCTCAAAAGCCTGACTACAAGAATAAAATGCTATGCATGGTACAAATTTACTCCTAAAAACCAAACAGAACTCTTTGTGTGACGGCTGAGTCGTTACTTCAGCGAGCAGGAATAAAATCCCAAAACTTTGATTGGCTCCAAGGGAGGTTTTAATCCTCCAGTCTATAAAATTCTAGTACTAATACACAATTTAAAATCATTTGGCTTAGGGCTGATTCTCCAGGGGATGGCTGTACTTTAATAGATTAATCTAAATACCTTCTTGATCTTCAAAGGTTATGTAGGCGACTCCTTTATTCCCTGCTGGATAAGTCACTTCTTCCACGTCTCCACCGTTATTCCTCGACTTTTGGAAGTGGATGGTGAGGATGTCAGCCATGACATCATCCTGCAGAAGGCCTTCTGGGACACCAGCAATGACAACTGTCCTTGTGGATTTGGCAGCTCTTCCTGTTGCCTGTGCAGAGATGGCACATGGTAAATGACCTGCCGTAGGGATCACCCACATTCATCCCAATCCCTGGAGTGACTCCCCTTCCCTTTGCACTTAGCAAGTTAATTAAAGCTGCTGAATCAGATCTCAGTGCATGTCAGGCTCCCTCAGGCACCCACATTGCTGTGCACTAAAAAATGGCCTTAAATGTAATTTACACCCTCTCAGGATCTCCTGAAAGCGGTAAAAAATAGCACTAAATTCAAGTTTCTCAAATGGAAGGTCCAGTGTCACACTGATAATGTTGTTTCCTCCAATTCTAACACTCTAAAACGTGAAGAGAATGAGAACTGTAATTGCACGGGCTGCTCAGTCAGGATTCCTTCCAGAGCGGAAGGGTCAGATTCCGACTGTCCTTACTTGTTAAATTCACAAGACAAGGATCTGGGGTTGTGCTCTGACTCATCTCTCTCCATTTATTAACTGCATAACCTTGTTAAATTGGGAGAACATAATCCCAGTCATCCGAGACTCGCAGTGCATAAAACAACTAACTGCACACATGATTCTCATCAGAGCAAACCCCCAGCACAGCAAACATGAAACCCATCCTAAATAGGCTCTGCATCCTTGTCTTGCAAAGAGAAGCATATTTTCTTTCCCTTCTTACTACATGGACATAAACAGCAATATTTCACTGGGAATATCACAGCAAAATCACTGTAAACACTGGAACACTGGCTAAATTTAGTAGCAGTTCATTGACTTGCTGGAAGAAAGGAAATAAATTTAGTTATGTCTGAGCTGCCAGTAACTTCAGAGAGACTGGGCTGGAGGTCAGTCACTCTGTGTAAATTCTTTACACTCCTCTTAGTTTTTTTCTGGGCCTGGGCTGCATAAAACAGCAGGATGTGTGTCCTAATCCCTGGGGGCCACCACGAGGAGACAGATCCAGTGAGGCTGTGCAACCATGCAAGCTTTTAATTCACATAGAGACACCGGGCCTTCTTTTATCACCCATCAAACTTAAAGAGCCAGGAGTTTTAATTATATTAGGCAATTATTTTGGTGGTAACGTTCGTGTGAAAGCAAGTCCCTGCACTAATGAGACAACACGAGGGGAATACAAACACGGTGCTCCCAAGATCCATGCGGGATTTTTCTCACGCTTCCCGAGCTCTCAGCTGCCAGACAGCATCTCACACCTTGCCAGCTGGTGTTTGGGAGCAACACTCTTGCCTGCTATTGGGGTTAGGGGGAAAAAAAAAACCCACCACGAACGAACGTGCATTTATTTAGTGCTGAATTGCTCCTGAGACCAGTCCGTGTGGAGCAGCTGCTCCCGGGCAGAAACACCGGGAGGGGCCGCAGGGATGGGCAGGAGGGAGAGGGGCAGGAGCTCTGTTGTGCCAGTAACCGCTGACAACGGGCTCCTGCCTGTGGCTTCCTGGCAAAGCTGCTCCACGGGTCATGGAATCACAGACTGGTTTGGGTGGGATCTTTAAACATCAACCAGTCCCACTCTCCTGCCACGGGCAGGGACACCTTCCACCAGCCCAGGTTGCTCCAAGCCCCATCCAGCCTGGCCTTGGACACTTCCAGGGATCCAGGGGCAGCCACAGCTTCTCTGTCCAACCTAGGCCAGGGCCTCCCACCCTCCCAGCCAGGAATTCCTTCCCAATATCCCATCCATCCCTGCCCTCTGGCAGTGGGAAGCCATTCCCTGTGTCCTGTCCCTCCATCCCTTGTCCCAGTCCCTCTCCAGCTCTCCTGGAGCCCCTTTAGGCCCTGCAAGGGGCTCTCAGCTCTCCCTGGAGCCTTCTCTCCTCCAGGTGAACCCCCCCAGCTCTCCCAGCCCCTTTCCAGGGCAGAGGGGCTCCAGCCCTCCAGGGACCCCTTCCCCAGCCCGCATTGCTCCAAGCCCCGTCCAGCCCAGCCTTGATCAAGGCGGGAGCTCAGGAATGAAGCCTCATCCACGGCCCAGTGCTACTGAAAAGGAAAACATTAACACCGCCGGGGGGAACTGGGGGCTGCGGCACCTCCGGACCCCCAGCCCGGCACCGAGCGCTGCTCAGCGCGGCCACCGCCATCCCCTCGCTCCCCTCCCACTGCCTTCCTTCCCACCCTTTTCCTTCCCTTTTATCCCTGGAGGCGGGAGGAGGCCGCTCTCCACTCGCGCTTCGCCGCCCTCGCTCTCCCCGTCCCTCGGTACTTGCCATGGCCGCCGCTCCAACGGGACGAGGGGTCCCGCCGGGATGAAGTTCCTGCCGGGATGGGGTCCCGCCGGGATGAGGTTCCTGCCGGGATGGGGTCCCGCCGGGATGCGGCCCAGGAGCTCGGGGAGCTCGGCTCGGGCCTCCCCGGCCCGGGGGGGG